ATACACCTGGTTCAGGGGTAAAAACCCAGCAGCTTACAAATCGCATTTCTCCTCGAAGGCTGGAGCACCACGTTTCGTTGTTTGTGGTATCTCCTTTTTTTTTTTTTTTTTTTTTTTAATGGGAAGAGGGAGAGTGTTTCTTTATTATACACCTGGTTCAGGGGTAAAAACCCAGCAGCTTACAAATCGCATTTCTCCTCGAAGGCTGGAGCACCACGTTTCGTTGTTTGTGGTATCTCCTAGGGTCTCTAGACCGACACTCTAGGTGCTGGGATTATTTTTTTTCTTTTCTTTTTTTTTTTTTTTCTTTTGCACAAGGCAACGAATAAAGCCCTCGAATGCAAAACATCTGGATGCTAAACAGATGCGTTCGTTTGGCTTGGTGTCCCTGTTTTTATTTGTTCGCCCACACGTAAGGCTTGGATTAAATTGTCGTTATTGTTATTGATCGTTATTATCGTTTTTATTGGAATGGAAAAGGCGAATCGAGAAGGGTATATGGGGGATGCGAGTGCGATGAAGCACATTCGGTTTTGCACCTACTTTTTCTTCCTCCGGGAGGGCGAGAAGTGAGCGGGGAGAAGATGCAAACCCAAGCCACACTTAAAATACGCAGTCGGGACGGGGGGCTTCTGGAAACCTGTTTCAAACCACGACGCGACACATGCAGAGTTTCCCAAACTGGAGAAGGAGGATCTCGCTTTGGTCCGGCGTTTTTCTCCGCCGGCCTCGGGAGCGGCGACCCCTTCTTGCCGCGGGCCGCTCCGCACCCGCGCAGGCTCCGAGCTGCCGCCGCCCGCCGCGGAGAGGGCAGGGCAGCGCCAGGGATCTGCGTGGAGTTGGCTTGCTGATGATGTAATTTTCATTTCCTTAAGTCGTATTTCATTAAATCTCTCCTCTGGGTGGGTAGCATAGGAAATGCTGAGTGGAATCTCACTGTTGTGTAAACAAACATTGGATATTTTACATGATTTCAATGTGTAGATAATTAGTTTTATTGCATTCATTACCCCCTTTATGTGCTCTGTAACAAGTCGACAATTAAAGTAACAAACTCATAAAGTCTTTATAGGGACATTTAGGCTCGAACAGTATTTGCCAGACTAAGTAGTTTAATTCAAAGCCAGCGGATGAGCGCGGGGAATCTACAGGCTTCTGTGCTTTGAGGTGGTTTATTATACATTAAAAACGCTCCAAAGCGGTACTTAATTACACCAATGACTGAAGTTTCCTTTTATTTTTTTGCGGCGGGGCCGGGGGGGGGAGGGGGGATGTCACTATGAGTTACCGGTGGGTAATAAAACAAAGCAGCAGATTCTTGAGCCGCTGAGGATCCGGGTGATAGTTTTACGGCCAGGTCTGATAGTTTTATTGCGGTTGCATGTTGTACGATGTGTATTTGATAAAGAACGGCCTTTGATGGCCCGTGGACACTTTTTTGTGCACCGTCGAAATGAAAATAAATGTGAACACGGTTTTAGTGCGAGGATGGAAACAAATTGCGAGCTCTAAATAGTTGTCCCTTTATGGTCAGCAGACAAGAAGAGAAAAGCGCTGCAAACATCTGTCTTCTGTCCCCCAAATCTAAAGGGCACCAAAGAATGATGTGAATCTAAGTGTTACTACAGCAGGGATTTGTCTTTATTTACCCGCGCTCTCATGAATATGAAAAGGTGTTTGGGGTAAGGAGGTGCCTTCATCCCTCCAAACAACATAGGGCATAAAAAAAAAAAAAAGGTAAAAAAAAGTAAAAAAAGGTAAAAAAAAAGTAAAAAGACACTCTCCGAGTGCGTTTCCTTTGGGGAGCACCTTTTGTGCCGCGTTTCTTTCCCCGCAG